ATGAGGGGTGTGTACGGCCGTACACCCATGTGTGCGGCCGCACACTCCTCCAAAAGGGGTGTATGGCCCGGTTTTGCTACTATACGCCTTGCTGACTCATTCCTAGTCTCAACCTTGACTGTACCCAAGCTTAGAACACTTAAATGAACCCTTAAACAGTGCTAGAAGTTAACAGCAACGAGTTTAACATTGATTAAATTGACTAGATGTTCCAGGTAGAAGTTTCGGGTTGTCACATCATCCCCCCGTTAGAGGGAATTTCGTCCTGAAATTCAAGCATAGAATACGCATTATGGGTTCGGGAAAAGATGAGGATATTCATGTTTCATAGGATCCTCGCGCTCCCAAGTGAATTTTAGGTTCTCGCTTGGTATCCCGGTGAACCTTCACTATCTGAACACGACGTTTGTTTTGTGCGCTGGACTTCCCGGTCCATGATTTCAACCGATTCCTCTACAAAGTGTAAGCTCTTGTCTAGTTCGATATCATCGAGAGGATCGCAAGTGTCTCATCGGACATAGACTTTTTCTAGGTCGAGAGGTGAAAGACAAGATGAATGTTACTAAGTTCACGGGGTAAACGGAGTTTGTATCCTACGGGACCGATCCTGGCGGGGATCTCGAATGGTCCAGTGAATCTTGGGGTTAACTTTCCACGCTTTCCGAAGCGTATCATGCCCATCCAGGGTGAGACCTTCAAAAGAACACGGTCACCAACCTGGAACTTCCAAAAAGAGGTTTTCGTCTCTCAGACACAACTCTCTTGTCTAACTCATGCTTATGGATTTGGGTTAAACTCTACACTTAAATTCGGCCCATCGAACAAGTGGTAGTCCTGGAGGGTTTACCGAATAAATTTTGGAAGGTTTTCGGAGAGTAGGATACTCCTCGCATGAGTACCTCAGGGTCCAGAATATGAAAAGGCGACTCAGAGATTTATGTCGGTTTGTTGTTGCCAATGACAGAGATCTTGTGAATTTTGACGATTCAGGCGACGGAACGTGTGAACTTAGTATGGTGAGGACCCACCTTATGAAGGTGTATGTCCGTACTCTCTTCAAGACATGAAGAACATGACGGATCTTGTAGTATCAATGCTTAGATAGAGTGGTCTTTCAAGGATATCAAGTTAGAGGATGAATTACCCACGTTCTTGAAGCTTTGGAGGGTTCACGGTTGAAGAACTTGAGAGAATGGTGTAGTGTGCAGCCAAGGAGTGAAAGGAATGAAGGGAAAGGGGTCTACCCTTTATATAGGAGTGGGTGTGTGGCCATGAGGGGTGTGTACGGCCGTACACCCATGTGTGCGGCCGCACACTCCTCCAAAAGGGGTGTATGGCCCGGTTTTGCTACTATACGCCTTGCTGACTCATTCCTAGTCTCAACCTTGACTGTACCCAAGCTTAGAACGCTTAAATGAACCCTTAAACAGTGCTAGAAGTTAACAGAAACGAGTTTAACATTGATTAAATTGACTAGATGTTCCAGGTAGAAGTTTCGGGTTGTCACAGACAACAACTACCCTTCATGCGATTGCAAATTTGCCAAAAAGTACCAACATAGCATCCTAATTCATTAAAAAGCCCTGAGACGCGTTTTCTTCAATACATGCGATTACAACTTTGATACATGCGATCGCATGTTATCATATTCTTGTTCCGGAAGCTTCCACCTTGAGTATAAATACAACCCTCATAATCAGTTGTAAGGGTTGGACGATTCCAGACGAAGAAAACCACTTCAGAAGGCGATTTTTAAATTCTTTCAACAACTTTTGAAGATCTGAAGACTGCGAATCATTTCACACGTTTAGTTTAGAAGATTTATTAGCAAATGTTTCTTTTATCTAGTTTAATTTCGTTTTTGGAGATGTCTGGTTAAACTTTAATTTTCAGTTTTGCATAGACTAGTACTTTCGTGTGATTAGCTTACATATATGATTTTCGTTTTGTGTTTCTATCTAGATTTTTCAGTTTTGTTCTTAATGAATGTTTGGTTTTAAATTCTTGTTAGTCTAATCACCTAATTAGGGTTTAATCATTCCAGTTAATCAGTTAATAGAATCCGTAATTGTTCTATTTAATTGGTAATAAGTAACAAGTAATAAATCAGTTCCGTGTTTGAGATTTGACTTTATTATAAACTGAAAAATCGTATATTTACGGTTCCGAGCTTGTGAGAAGTATTGGGTATTGTTAGGAATATTTTACAAAGATCTTAATGCAATTTTTCTGATTTAATTAATTGCTTGTTTAATTGAACAGTAAAAAGTTATGGTTAACTAAAATAGCTTGTTTTGGCTAACTAATTTAGGTAAAAGAGGTTATACTAGAGCTTGTTAGTTTTTTTTTCAGTACCAGCTTAGATAGAACGAATTTCAAATAACCAGATCTGGGCTAGTTGCATGATTAGGAAAGTCGCATCAGAACTGAAATTGTTTTTAATATTGATTTTCGTTTAGTTTAATATCACTGTAATTTTAGTTTTTAGTTTAATTTAAAATCCCCATTTTATATTTTCTGTTTCTTGACTAGATTGTGCCTGATGCAAAAAACATTGACTTTTAGGCTGTGTCCCTTAAGATTCGACCTTGCTTCCTTGTGCTATGTTTTTAGTGCAACTAGCAGTGATCATTTTATTTGCTTAATACACGTGCAACAACGTATTAACAGTGACTAAGCAAAAGACAGTTGGAGAAAGGCGGGGGAGCGCTTTTAGTTTCTTTGGACGGTGGTGGTTAAAGTTGTCGGATGAGAAAGGGTAGAAAAGTGGGGGTGGTGGAGGTGACGGTAGGGTGGCGGTTGGGGGAGATGATCGTGATGGATGTTGATAGAGGAGATACAAGGTTGGAAATGAGATGCATGAGGTGGTGGTCGACGATGCGCTAGAGGCAGGAAGGGGATAGACAAATAGTACCAGGCGTGGGGAGCGAACGATGAAGGGATGTTTAGGTTAGAGTTTATTAATTCATTTTCTTTATGATTAATTTTTCAATTTATGCAGTTCATAAAAACATAAACTAAAAGATAAGGGGTATATTGGTCATTTACTTAGACCTAACGTCTAGTTTCTAACGGTGTTATCACATAAAGATAATCATTGTAATTTCTCCAAACAAAAGGGATGACCCTTATCAAATTTTCAATAATTGGATAAAACATGCGATTTAAGACCAAACCTCATGGATGATTTATGTAATTACTCTTTTTTTTAATATAAATTTATAAAGTGAATATAATTTATTAATTGATATAAATAATTATTAATCGGTTAAAACCTCTCTAAACTACCTTTATTTTTACATCAGAATGGAGTAACTAATAATACACATAATGTCATAATGTTTCATCTCCAACTTTATTTTATTTTCACATCATTTTTACTCCAAAAATTATATTCCTTCTTTGTCATTTATATAAAAATGTCAAAAACACCCATCCTCTTGATTAGCTTTTAACAAATACGTATGGTATCTTATTTTATCACAATAATTTTATAAATTGTATTATCACAAAGTTATATCAAAATAAATATATTATCACAAAGTTATAACAAAATAAATTATTCTCAAAAATATGTTACCGTGTTGTGTTTTGTTTTGTTTTGTTTTTGTTTTTGTTTTGTTTTTGTTTTTTTAAACGTATTTGGATTTTTATATGAATTCAATACATAGACCTAGAATATGAGGGACTAAAATTCACATTTGAAAGTTTCACTTTAGTGTAAATGGATAATATTTGTCAATATCTACAATAATATTATTTATTTACACTAGAAAGGGGTGTGAATGAAGTGAAAATGAATGGAGTAAGAAAGAGATTGCAAATGAGATTTGGAGGTGTGTTGAAGATGTTCTAAGGATCATCGGGACAAATCTACTAAAATTTTGTAAACCTGCAAAAGTAAATTATATTTAGAGTGCACGAATATATGCTTAATCAAATTTTTGGTGATTCGCAAACATATTTAAGTTTGAACAAATTGTGCAATTCAGATACAATTATGTAACCAAATCTTTGTACTCACCTAATGTTATAAACTCCATCAAATTGCTAGGAATACTGAATCATGCACTAAAGTTGAAAGTAGGTGTTCGATAATGTTGTTGCACAATCCAGATTAGTCTCTAGACACGTATGCATGTAATTAACCTGACAACACACATGAGTGAAGCAAGAATAATTTCTGGAAATAATGTTGGAGCTCGAATGTCCATACCCAAGATCTTTTTAGTTCCATCTAACAAATGTATGCCATTCAAATTGACCCGCAAACAGCTCTCATTGGTGTTGTGTTGTGCAATGACAACAATAAAAGCCAATATCAATTACTTTTTAGAGTTTGACTATTCTTGTGAAGACGTGTGTTCGCCCACAAACAGTTGTATATTATTTTGTCTAGATTAACAAACAAATAACATAAGGTATAAATGTGGTAATCATGGATGATGAATGAAACCTATCAAACACAACTATTAATGTTGTCCACAATAAATTACTTCAAAATTTATAAATACAACACTGGTCATCAAAACTAGGTTGATGATGTTTGAGTACATTTCATGATCACCAAATACGGTAATCGGTATATAGATATTTGTGTTTGACATATTTAATATACAAACCTTTTCAATGGTTATATTATATAATTCAGTAATTTTTTGATTTTAATCTAATTGGTATGCACACTTATGTGATAGAACTATTTCGAACTAACCTAAATTCATATAGACATATCACCTAGCTCAGTATACAACAAAACAAACCGTATCGATGCCTTTGATTTTTTTTTTGAAACGACCAATTTTATTAAAAAAACTCACCCAAGATAGTAAAAAACTACAGGGGAGAAAAGGAGGATATCGATGCCTTTGATACTCGAATATAAATTCGACCAAACTCATACAAAATGTATACACGTGAACCATATTTATAAGTTACTCTTTAAAAATTATAACAACAATGCACGTGGCGTTCGGGTAACTAGTAAATCTTTTAATGAAGTCCAGCGAACTGTAAAAACAGAAAGCATTGATATCTCTATCACCAACCCTCAAGTCTCAACCCCAAAGCCTCACTCCATCGAGGTCAACGCACAGTTCTCCGATCTTCCCCCCCAAAATGTCCACCAAATTTCCCTCTCTAAACCCTAGGCAACTACTTCTGTTCTTCACCCTTCTCTCCGTATTTCTATATCTTCCACCAATCGTCAATTCACGAACCATACGAACAGTCGATTCTTCTTCACACTTCTCCGACGATTCATCCGTCACTTATCTATGGCCGTTGCCGTCGGAATTTACATCCGGTAATGAAACGCTGGTGGTGGATCCTAGTCTATCTCTCTCCCTCTTCGGCAATGGCGGAAATTCTGTTATCGTCAGAGAGGCGTTTGAGAGATACAGAACGATTATATTTAAGCACGTTGGTAGCTCCAAGTTTGGAACGAGGGATTTAGGTTATGATATTGGTAAACTTTCTGTCATTGTTCATTCAGACGATGAAGAGGTGAGTTTTTCTAATTTTGGTGGAAGTGTATTAGCTTAAGTTAAAAGATTTTTCAGGAAGTGAATTGTTTGCTGTTTGAATTTGTTTTAGCTTCAACTTGGTGTTGATGAGAGTTATACTTTGTTGGTGGCGAAGAATAATGCTCTTTCTATTACTGGAGAGGTTACCATTGAGGTAAATATGTGTGTGTCTGATGAGAGTTATGCTTTGTTGGTTGAATTGTCTAGCATTTTAGTTTAAATTGGTACATGAGATATCTACAAAGTACAAACTACAATCAAACCTTTCTTTTATTTTGATTCAATGCAGGCAAACACAGTTTATGGTGCCTTGCGTGGATTAGAGGTATGAACACAACAATTCATAGTTATGTTGTAAGTTTGTACATTTCTTATATGGATGTATGATATGGCAAAATAACATCATCATGAAGATTGAAGAAGAGCCAGCTAACTGTTTAATACTTTAATTCAACCCAATGATTGTCTTTCATATTGTTTCTTTGTATACATTTTTCTTATATTGCAGACATTCAGCCAATTATGTGGTTTCGATTATGGAACTAAAAGTGTACAAATATACAAAGCTCCATGGTTCATCAAAGACAAACCCAGATTTGCTTTTCGTGGTCTTTTACTTGGTATGTTACAATTCTTTTCAAATTCGAATGTGAATATGTGATGTATCTTTGTTAGTTTTGTTATATTTTTTGAAGTGTGCTGATAATAAATATATGACAAATTGACAATGATGTTTACCTTCTTTCACAGATACTTCAAGACACTATTACCCAATTGACATAATCAAGCAAATAATTGAATCTATGTCATACGTTAAACTTGTAAGTCACTATTATCCATTTCTTCATTGTGATTTTAATTAAATACATGTATTTCTGACATTGTGAATTTTGTTCAGTAGAATGTTCTACATTGGCACATCATAGATGAAGAGTCATTTCCTTTAGAAGTACCTGCATATCCAAAGCTATGGAAAGGTTCATATACAAAGTGGGAGCGATATACTGTTGAGGATGCATATGAAATAGTCAAGTAAGACACTTAACATAGTTCTTTGACTTTCATATGTTGACTCCTATATTGTTACTACAACCTCTTTTCAATGGATGCATGTCTTTTATTCTTAGTACTAAAATTTGTTTTTTGTTTCATATCTCCTTACTTTAAAGCTTTGCAAAAGTGAGAGGTACTCTACTCTACTCTTTCATCTTTTACTTCTTTAAGTTTAAAAAAAATCCATTTATGAATATTTTATTAGTTTTATATTGAATTTAGGTATTAATGTAATGGCGGAGATTGATGTTCCTGGTCATGGAGAATCATGGTAAATGTTCTAATATTACTTTTACTCTGTATTTTCTTCTTTGAATTTATCATCATATTCCCTCTCTTTGAATCTATGATCTTATACACTAGTTTATTGGTGATAAATAAATTATGTGCTTTTACATGCAGGGGTATAGGATATCCTGATCTTTGGCCTTCAACTTCCTGTAAAGAACCTTTAGATGTTTCAAAGAACTTCACTTTTGAGGTGCTTTCTGGAATTTTACAAGGTTAAGCCCTATGAATCATATATGTTAATACAATCAAGGATTAAGAAACACAAAGATAAAGTCTCTGTTTATTTTATTTATTTATCCACCATGCACTTAATATTATGAATTTTTCAGACATGCGAGAGATATTTCCCTTTGAGCTCTTTCATTTAGGAGGTGATGAAGTCAATACTGGTTAGTAAATTTTCCTTCTAATATTAAAGACTTTAACATAATATTAAAATTAGTTTTAATTATCTTATTCAACTTACATGTGCAGATTGCTGGAACAATACCCCACATGTGAAGCAGTGGTAAAACATTCATCTTTATTAATTATTAATCAACTTATTGTATTCCCACATTTGTATATTTACAATTTATACGTCTAGAAACACGTTTTAGGGTTTAGGGTATTTTAGGGTTTTATATATATAATTTGTTCAATCCTTATATAGGCTTCAGGAAAACAATATGACAACAAAGGATGCATATCAGTACTTTGTGCTTCGAGCTCAAGAAATAGCCATATCCAAAAACTGGACTCCAGTCAATTGGTATGTCAATATCTTTTACCAATTTTAGTAAATATATTTTCTAAATAAGACAAATTTCAGGAAACAGAAAGTACTTACAAATACAATTACAAATTTTTATTTTATAATTTAAACAGGGAAGAAACATTCAACGCGTTTCCCGAAAAGCTTAATCCACGAACCGTTGTGCACAACTGGTGAAAATTCTAATTCGGGATTTTATTTTCTTTTTGCTTTATAATTTATTTTAATGACATGAGAATGGTGTAAAATGTAAATTATGTTATAGGTTGGGGGGTGGAGTGTGTCCAAAGGTGGTAGCACAAGGGTTGAGATGCATATACAGCAATCAAGGGTTTTGGTATCTTGATCATCTGGATGTCCAATGGGAAGGTGTTTATGATGCTGAGCCACTTGAAGGGATAACTGATGCTGCTGAGCAGACACGTGTCCTTGGTGGAGAAGTTTGTATGTGGAGTGAGACTGCGGACCCCTCAAATGTTCAGCAGACAATATGGCCTCGTGCTGCAGCTGCTGCAGGTATGTTAGTTAGTATTTTCAAAGTTAGGGGTAAATAAGTAAATTTACTTACAATCTGTTGTTTTGCATGATATAATATGATATGATAGAGCGGTTGTGGACCTCAAAGGAAGCTGCACCAAGAAGCAACACCACGGGGGGGATGACATTGACCAGATTGGAATATTTCAGGTGTCTGCTGACTAGGCGTGGGGTCCAGGCTAGCCCTGTAACAAACTTCTATGCACGGAGCCCTCCCATTGGTCCAGGCTCATGCTATGCCCAGTAACTAACTCAATATGTGGACCCCATGCTTTGCTGCTTCCCGGAGTTGTATATATATTTATCATTGGTCTACGAATCACAGATAGCCACGTCGACAAAGGTGTGTTGGTGTCAAAGTGAAACTGAAATTTTCAAATATTGTATCTCTGTTTTGTTGTTGTTGTTGTGGGTGATGATGATGTGGAATGTGTGTTTTAATGGATATGTTGGTGCTTTTTTTTTTTTTTTTTTTTTTTTTTTTTTTTGAATTTTCTTCTGGGTATACCGGAAGAATTGGAGGAGAAATGTATGCATGAGATTTGGTGTTTGAGAAATAAGCTTACAACAAATTTGAGGTATTGAGCTTCCCCAATTTGTGAATATGCTATTGCTTTTGTGGATCTTTGAATTGTTTTAGTTTTTTTTGGTTTGATTCAATTTTTAAACCTAGAAATTATCCATAATGACAGAATAGATAAACATATATGTATTCAAAAATTTCGTGTAAATTACTTTTGAAACAATCGAAATAGATTTTTGTTCAAATTTTAGGGGTTGGTTTCAAGCTTCATACGTAAAATACTTTAATGAAAAAAAAGTCCCCTTAATTAGTTTCATCTTGCACATTACATTCTCTGAATTTCAACAAAGCCTACTGAAGTTAAATGTAGAAGGAATTTTGTCAGTACATATACTAAAAAAATTGGGATAATGCACTCGAAGGGAATATAGTTTAGATTGTGTATACATTTAGTCATTTATGTTTATCTTTGTTGCTTACAAACTTTTTCCGTTGTGGAGGTGCTTATCAGTTTTAAGATTTATGTCAGGAAACATCAATCTAAGGCTATATAAACAACTGGATTCGTATTTTAAATACGGAAAAATCTAATTAGACAATTACCTCTCTCATCATCAACAACATGATAATTTTTGTAGTTAAGTGTGAAGGAATTTTGATTTCCCGTCATTTTTTAAAGTTATCTTTCATGATGATGTATTTCTTGCATTTTACCCTATTTCAATCATGAGGTGCATGCAGTGTGGCTAAATATCATGACTGATTTGACAAAATTTGTTGATCAAACATTAGAATTTGTTATTGCAGGTATGAGGAGAGATGAAAACATCGTGATCTTTCTTGATATAAGGAAAGCTATTGAAGGTGGTCACATTTTTTAAATTATTCTGCATCGTACTCTCTGGTTCATGAGAGTTGCAATAAGTAAGATTATTTATGGAATTTAAGGTGAAATAATGGTATTTTCTTTTTTGAGTCAGGTTATTAATTATTATTTAGACAAATATTCTATTTCTTTATATTAAAATTATTCTTTTTTCATTGTATACATTAGGGTTTAGGAGGAGAAGAACTTTTCTGAAATCGATGAAATGTCGGATCACCTTGAAGGATCGTGTGATCACTTTATGAAATATGATAGTTCGACCCTATGCATGATTATATAAAATCCACATTATAAGGATAATCTCTCAAGGAACAAGCTCAAATCAATGCATTGATATGAAACCAAAAACTAGGGTTTGATAGCTTTTTGAATTCTTCTGATTACCACGGTAGGATCAATTAACATTAAATGTTGATGTTGATTTTATCAAGGTGCGATCCCTTGGACCCTGCAAGGGTGCATCCTCCTTGAAACATTGCAATTTGATTTATTCGTAAAAAAAAAAATAAAACTCTTTATTATTTTAATTGTGATACTAATTTTTAAATTTTCAACACAACATACTTAATTTGCTAATTTAAAAATGGTATAAAATGTCAAAGAAACTAATAAAATGTCCAAAGACTATTACTTTAGACTAAATCGGATAGTTTTTTTTAAAAAAAAAAAAAAAAAACTTAAATAACAACACAAATAATTGAATAAACATTAAATCAAAATTACATATAACTAAAAACCATATAAATTTACAGCTTACATTATCTTAGAAACCATCATGATGAAAAACAAAAACGATTAAAAGTAGTAACATTTATATCATTTAACTATAACGATAAGTAAAAATAATATTAAACCGAAAATTATACATGATGTAATTCACTTTTAACCCACTTTTAACCCACGAGTTAAGAATATTAGATAATGTATTTTGATATAAATACTTATCTTATCTTGAATACTGTTAATTTGTATTTAATTTTGTTAATAACATTAATACATTATGTTATTACAATTGCTTTAAAATTTTTAATTTTCAACTTTATGGTATAAAATTTTTAATTTTCAACTTTATAGCATGTCTTTTTAATAAAATACTTGAAAATAATAAAAATAATTTATACCAATTTTTTATTTAATATAAAAATAATTGTTTGATACACTTAATGACAATAAATTAGTTACTTTTTACAATATAATTATTTATAAAGTTTTTTGTTATTATTTTATTATGCAACGCATACACATTCATATCTAGTTTAACTTGTTAAATAACAAAATTTAAGAATTGGTTACTAAGTTATAACTTATCACAAAATTTGTTTATTTTGTTCTTCGATCAAGTCCAGATTTATCGTAAATGAAACAGCCCAGCTGGCCCGGCCCAATTCATGATATAATGGCAATGTAATGTCGTATTACTCGTATAAGATAAACCCTAGATTGCAGCAGCCCCAGCTCTCCCCCATTTCCATCGTTTAGGTATGTTTTCACTCTGTTTTTGCTTATTTTCATATGTGATCTTGTTAAGCAATTTCTTTGATTTTTCAATTTTTTATTTTATCTCTAATTTGCTTCTTTATTTGATTTTCAGCTGATCAATCTTTGCACTAGCTTGGTTTAGCGATGTCTCCTGCTAAAGGTTTGCATTTTTCTCAAACTCACAGCTTATCACTCAATTCGATGTTGGAACAATGTTCTTCTGTATACCCGTTGTTTCCGATTATATGAATATCGATGTTCATATTCTACTGTTTTCAAACATCGCAAGAGTATACAATCAATAAATTGTGACAATCACAAATGGTATTACTAGTTCTATTGTTCTTCACTTCTTCTATCAGCTCCAGATTGCATTCCTCCATTGCTTTGATTGTCATTAGGCTTGACAGAATGAAGTTTGAATCAAAACTATAACAAAAATCAAGGGAATCTTATGTTGCTATTGAATTAATACAAACTTTTTTAATTTTTTTGTTTCAGCTGATACTACGAAGAAAGGCGATGCTAAAGCTCAGGCTTTGAAGACAGCGAAGGCTGTGAAAACAGGTTCAACCTTCAAAAAGAAAGCTAAGAAGATCAGAACAAAAGTTACATTCCATCGTCCACGAACTTTGAAGACAGATAGGAACCCTAAATATCCAAGAATCAGTGCCCCACCAAGAAACAAATTGGACCATTATCAGATTCTCAAGTATCCATTGACTACTGAGTCTGCTATGAAGAAGATTGAGGACAACAACACTCTGGTTTTCATTGTTGACATTCGTGCTGACAAGAAGAAGATCAAAGCTGCTGTGAAGAAAATGTATGACATTCAGACCAAGAAAGTCAATACCTTGATCAGGTAACTTCATCACTATCACTTTCTCTTACAATCAGTTGTTTATATTAATCATTATTATTGTGGATTAAAATTGATTAATTTTTATTTATGTAATGCTGCAGACCTGATGGAACTAAGAAAGCCTATGTGAGGTTAACTCCTGACTATGATGCCTTGGATGTCGCTAACAAGATTGGCATCATCTAAGTTTAGTTTGTGTTGAAAGTGTTGAGTTTTGTTAGTATTTCGAATTTTTAAACTTTTATGGATTCACATTTGCTAATGGAGGATTTTTAATAGTTTGTTACCTGTTGTTGGTTCTTTCTGATATTGTTTTTATTTTTATTTGCTATTTTGGTTCATTGGGTTTTAAAGTGTATTTCTTGTTAAAAAAACAAACAAATTACTCATTTTGTAGTACATTTACTTTTTAGTTACGTATTATAGTTATTAATCATAAATTTACAAGATTTTCTTATTAAATATTGGATGCGATCTTGGTAAGTTTACCATCTTTTTTTTTATAATTAATATTTTTATTCATTTTGTACTTGTAACTCTTACAATTGACAATGAGTGAAAATTCTATAAAAATTGTATGTTGATAACTCAACATTTGACCATGAGTGAGAACACAATTCATAATTAAATACAAGGTAAAGCTTTTCGATGAAATTGGATAAACAATTTAGTAAACACGCAAAATGAATCTACATCATGGGATGAAGAATTGGAAAAGGTAATCGAGTTGTGTGCTTTGCATCATTGTGAACGATATCTTCTATTGAATTTCACAATGGTGAACGGTTTACTAAACGATGATGATCCATTACCACATCCAATTATTCTTTGCAATGAATTTGCACCACTGGTGTAACCAATGATTTCGATACAAGGAATAAACAAAATAAAAATTCAAAATAATATTTTTACAAGGTTAGCCTTAGGGTTATAAGTTCTTTCGAATCAAATCCAATTTATTATTATTATTATTTTTTTCTCACTTTGAACATAGGTCATCCCTAACACATCTTCTCACTTGGGGTTGACGGACGCCCTTTAATCTGGATGTTGATAGCAAACTTATGTTTTTTGTACGGTTAGGCCAACCATCTTTTAAATTTTATATGTTTGGTCTAAATTTTAAATTTTATTACAAATTTAATTAGAAATTTAAAATTTTGGTATGAATTCGTCCCAAATTTAGTTTTTTTCTTTTTACAAATTTATTTTCTATAAAGTTTTTAATACTTTTTATAATGTTTTATAAGATTTAGTTTTCTTACATTTTTTCCAAACTTTAAAAAAAAATTATTTTATAATATTTTCTTAACTTTTTTTCCAACTTTTATATTTTCTCATACATATTAGCAAAACCAAAATTTTTCTTAATTATGCAACACTTGGATTTGATGAAAAAATGATTTTGAATCATATTTTTTATTTCATCAAATCTAATGTACATAAGACATTGGAAAAGTTGAAAGAAAAATTAAGATAATATTATAAAAGTTTTTTTTTTAAAAAAAAACATTAGAAAAAATATCTTATAAACCATAATAAAAAAGTTGTAGGAAAATAAATTTGTACAAAAAAACTAAAATTGGGACATATTTATAACCAAATTTAAATTGGGACTAAATTTGTAATAAAATTTAAAAATTTGAGTCAAAAATATTAAATTTGAAAGAGAAGTGTTCTATTCAACTGGATACTCATACAGGGACATGTTTATAACCAAATTTAAATTGGGACTAAATATGTAATAAAATTTGAAAATTTGAGTCAAAAGTATAAAATTTGAACGAGAAGTGTTCTATTCAACTAGATACTCATACATAAAACATGAGTTGAGTAGTCTTTTAAAACATGAGTTTGTTACTTTTTTAAAGATGAGTGTCATATTCAACTTGGGATAACAAGTTCTCAAATGGAAAAAATGTGTTGACTACATTTTTAATATATAAACTCTAAGTTATTTGACAACTTTAAAAAATTCTAAAAAATAAATGATAACCTTATTTTTAAGAGTAAATTACACGAATCGTCTCTCGTCTAGGTGCAAAATGCACGTTCAATCCTTATTTTTAAAAATTAACTCAGATCGTCCTTATATTATAATTTTTTCACTTGGACCGTCCCTGAAGACATAAAATGACTATTTTGCCCTTAATATATATATATATATATATATATATATATTATTTTATTTTATTTATTTATCATTTTTTTGATTAAAAATAAATAAATAAATAAATACCCCCACCACCAACCACACCACAACCCACCCCTCTCTTCTTCCCCTTCCCCTCCCCCTTCCCGTTTTGCTGTTACGTTCCCTGGAAACCAGAACCATCGGAATCATCAACAACACCACACTCATCGTTGCCTTCCATCTTTCACATTAAATCATCATTTCCAATAGCCATTCAATCGAGCGTAGCAATCTGCACCATCTCCAACAACGATTCAATCGAGGGCACCACCAGAAACGCCAGAATCATTCAATCGAGGGTGGTGGTTGGAAAAGTCATATGGAAAAGACTGAAGATCATCCCATCAAACCCTAAATTGGTTGTATCTCTGTGGATCTGCACTTCGTCGATCTGTACAATGAACATCGTCTCTCTTAACACTTTTGGGTAGTAGTGTCAGAGAAATGCATCACTCCGTCGATCTGTATGTCCCACCGCCATCGTTGGTCGGAAAATTCATCTAGCACACTCATCTTCTCTCAATCTTCTTATCAGTTCTTGTTTTGGCTGTTAGAGAAACAAGATGCCGATTTTGAATCTGAACTTGCTTTCCCTCTCTCTATCTCTCTCTCTCTCTCTCTCTCGCCCCCTCTTATCACTTAAACTCTCATGTAGATCTTGCTTTCCAGTGGTTGATTTTGAGTGGATCTAGTTTTCGATGGTGGTTAATTTTCTTGGTTTTGAATCGACCTGCTTCAGTTTGAAATCAATGTGTTTTGATTTGATTTTCTCAAATCGATCTGCGTTTTATGTGAAAACGATCAGGTGGTGGCGGAATTAAGGTAGACGGTCGCCGGAGGTGAGAGTCATCGGAGAAGGAGGGCATAAGCGCGTTTGAGAGAAGGTAGACACAGGAGGCGGATGGTCAACCGTGGTAGAGATGCAACGAAATGGATTAAAATCTTAGTGGGTGGCCATATTCTTTTTTTTTTTTTTTTTTTATTTTAAATAATAATAAAAATATTAAAATAAATAAAAAAATAAATTCATAAGGGCAATATAGTCATTGTATGTCTGTTAAAGGATGAAGCATGTAAATTTAAACTAATGAGGGATGAAGCGTGTAAATTTAAACTAATGAGGGATGAAACGTGCAAGTTTAAAACAAACAAGGGACGGTCCGAGTTAATTTTTGAAAATAGGGACTGAACGTGCATTTTGACACCTAGACGAGGGACGATTCGTGTAATTTACTTTATATTTAACTATTAGTTTCAGGTACTTGTTTTGCAGTTACAAGAAAGTTGAGGGTCTAAACTGAAGTGCACATGAAAGCTTTCCCCAAAAAAGGGTTTTGGGGGTTTTTCCGGTTTCCATACCCCGTCGCCTCTCTTTCCATTGCCGATTTGCCTCCATCGTTTCTCAAGATTTTACACAATGGTTCTATCAAACAAGAAGCTAAAGGAAAAGCTACGAGCCCAACTCACCGAAGCCTTAGCCAAATCAGAGTCTCAAGCAAACCAATCCAATCTCAACGACTCGCAAACCCCTCAGTCATTCAAATCTCTCCTGAATTTGGTAACCCAAAAACCTAAACTATCCAAACGGGAAAAACGCAGAGTTACAGTACCATCAAATCATGAAAATGATGATGAAAAGAAAGAAAGTGAAGAGGGTGGTAACGGATTGAAGACAAATAAGAAGAGGAAGAGAGAAAAAGATGGAGTTGAGGCGAAGGAAGAAAATGAGGCGAAAGATTTGAGCGAGAATAAAAATAGTAAAAAGAAGAACAAGAAGAAAAAGAATAAGAAAAAGAAGGTGGTCGTGAAGGAAGAATCAGGTCTGCAAAAAGCAAATGCTGTAAGTGAAGAACAAAAACAAGAACAAGAACAAGCTGTTGCAGAGCCAATTCAAATACATACCAGGTATAACTAACTCATATGTTGTGAGCGTGTTTACAAATTTCATTCAATTCAATCTTCTAGCCCTCTTCTAATCGCTCATAAGGTCTCTAGAATCTGCTGATAGTTCCTTTAATAATCGAGCTAGTGAAAATTACATAAAAGAAGATGAAAGGTAAGCCATATTAATTGACTTATCATGCTACATGTTAATGCAGTAAAGAAGATGCAAGTATTTCTACAAAGATTTATGTCGGAGGCATTCCATACTACTCAACAGTGGATGATATTCGTAGTTTTTTTGAAGGTTGTGGAAGCATTACTGAAATAGATTGTCTAAAATTTCCCGAAACTGGCAAGTTCAATGGGATTGCAATGATAAGTTTTCGGGTATGAACATAAAAAAAAAGCATTGATTTTTACATATATTTATTTGTATCCATATATTTACTTGTAATCTTTTATCACAGACTGAAGCTGCATCAAAGAGAGCATTAGCACTTGATGGATCTGATATGTGAGCAACACTTATACACTGATATTTAGTTATTTACTAATTATTTATAAAATGTTAACAGAAACTTATTTCTTGTTACAGGGGTGGACTATCTCTAAAGGTTCAACCATACAAGGCAACCAGAGATAAAAAAGTTTCCGACTTTGCCCCTGCAATGTTGGAAGGCTACAACAGGATCTATGCAGGAAATCTGTCATGGGATATGACAGAAGATGAATTAAAGAAATTCTTCTCAGATTGCAGTATATCTTCTATTCGACTTGGAAAAGATAAAGAAACAGGGGAATTCAAAGGTTTTGCTCATGTTGACTTTTCAGATAGTCTTTCTTTGACAATGGCATTGAAACTGGATCAAAAACCTCTTTTTGGAAGACCTGTGAGAATCAGATGTGCAGTTCCACCAAAATCAGTAAACCCTAGTTCAAATCCGGACCCCACTTTTGGTAAAAATGAAGTCAATGGTAAGTTGACCCATTCTGATGTTACTGATGATGCTGCCCGAAAGGTAAAGAGGCAAACTTGCTATGAGTGTGGTGAAAAGGGTCATCTTTCTTCATCCTGCCCGAAAAAGCAAGCTGCTGACGTGGCAAAATCGGGCAGGGAAACTTTTGCTTCTGTGGATAGCCAAAAGGTTGATGATAAAGTGATTGAGTTTGTTCGTGATGCTGCTTTAAAGTGGAGAACATGTTATGAATGTGGTGAAAGGGGACACCTGTCATTAGCCTGCCCGAAAAGACAGGTTGCTGACGTGGCAAACTCGGGCAGGGAATCTTTTGGTTCTGTGGTGGTTGTGGATAATGATGTTTCTGATAGTAAGCTAAAGAGAAGAACCTGTTATGAATGTGGTGAAAGGGGACATCTCTCGTCAGCCTGCCCGAAAAAGCAAGATGCTGATGTGGCAAACTCGGGCAGGGAAGGTTTTGATGTCAAAGAGGTTGTTGATGAGAAAATGATTCAACCTGTTAGTGATGGAAAGCTAAGGAGGAGAACATGCTATGAATGTGGTGAAAGAGGGCATTTGTCATCTTTATGTCCAAAGAAAGTAGTTGCTGATGTGGCTGATGACATGGAGGTTGAGAAAGCTGAGGTGGCTGTTGGTAAAGAAGTTGTTGATAATGTGGTGAGTGAAGGTAAGCTAAGGAGGAGGACATGTTATGAATGTGGTGAAAGGGGTCATTTGTCATCTTTATGCCCAAAGAAACAAGCTGCTGACGTGGCGAATGTGAGGAAGGAACCTGATGACGTGGAAGTTGAAGCTGTAAAAACTACAGTGGCTGACGTGGTGAATGGTAAGATAAGGAGGAGGACTTGCTATGAGTGTGGTGAAAAGGGTCATCTTTCTTCCTTGTGTCCAAACAAAAAAGAAGCTGATACTTCAACTTAATCAAGTATGTTGAAATTACCTATTTACCCATCGTTATTACAAATAAATACGTTAATATTATGACTGATGCTTTTTCAGGTTTTTTCATGACAATCTTTTGTGGCTACCAAGGAATAGAAATTTTGATAGAAGTGAAGTTGGGCATATTGGCATGAACTTATATGCTACTACATTTTTCATAATTATAAGTAAAAGGAAACAATTTTTTTTTTCTTGTCATTATGTTTAATTTATTTGTTGTACAATTGGACTGGTAGATTTGTTTGGTTATGTATTTGGTGTCATGTGGTCGTGTAAGAAGCCTTGATGATTCTTGCTTATAAACAAATGGGTTCTTGTCATAAACGAAACCAAATGGAAACAAATTTACATTTTTGTGCTTTTTCATCCGAACTTTTTATGGTTTCCAGATTGTAAATGAGGAACATAAAGAATGTGACGTTTTGACCTAACATGAGGGAGATATAGGCTAATTTTAGTCTATCGACTTTTCTGTTCCTATTAATTCAATTACTATTATATTATATTAATATTATATAGTACATTTAGATAATTGTAATATTAATATTCTGAAATGACAAATAACGTAAAATGATTTGATTATGTTTAATATCATAGTAATTTACTAATTTGTTTCATCCATTCATTTAAGTTGTATTTCCGGTTTGTTTTTTATTATGTTTAATATATATAAATAAACACACTATTAATATTGAACAGTCTATTAATTCATTGATATATTTGTAGGTTACTATTGATTTTCGATGAGTACTTGGATTATAAGAAGTCTGTGTTCGGAAAGTAGCTTCAATTTTGGCATCAAATATACACACCTTAAACGAATCGGTTAACTGTATCCTGGGTCGAAACCCGAGAATACACTATGATATACGGATTACATGGCTCAACCTAAAAATAACACAAAACCATTTAAAATCAACTCATACCAGTTCACTTGCGTGTCAGTTTTGTGTCGTGTTGAGAATTGCCAACCTAGTATTTAGTGTATATATATTTTATAGATTTTGCTCCTTCAACATTGATAGAACATTAGTCCCCATTTTAAAAAGGGTGAATTTTGTATATGTCATCGTTAAGTATCAAATAATCATATTTATCCGACCTAAAATCTATATCATATTTACCCTTCTTAACTATCAAAATATCGTATTTGCCTAATTTTTTAAAATAATTTTTAACATTTTATAATTATATTTTAAAATCATTATAATTAAAAAAAAATATATTGACTTTATTGTACCTAAAAATTAAAACCCTTTTAACATACATGTCGATTGATCTTTAATCCCCTAAATAACCTAATCCTTCTTGAACTATTGAAGCATATAACCTCTCCAAGAGGGAGACAAGAGAAACACATTCAGAAGATCACGGCTTGTGGTGGTGTTAATCACGTACAAGACTTGAATTTGGTCATGTACAAGGAACTGTTATCGAAGCTATACTGGAGTGTCAATGAGTAACTTAGACGATAAGTTGTCAGATAATGATTTTCAAGTTTTGATTACGCATTCTGATCATCAACATTTGTTTGCAGTGTTTCGATTTTTGAATTATTTTTTTGTTTTTGTTGAGTTGTCAGATAATGATTTGTCTCTGTTTCGGTAACTTTATTATCCATTACTCGGGGAATAAATTATGCATCTTCAGACACTAAGAAACTTAATGTGGTTTTGCAAATATTATATATAATTTGCTTGGAGTTAAAACCAAAGATTAGGATTAATCTGTCTCTAAAAAAGAGACGCTATACTAAATTGTCTATAGTTTTACCAACAAAAATTATGCATCTTGAGCAAATGTTTTTTAAGGAAGAGAACACCTTCAACCTTAATTCAAAATTAAAAACATCAAGAAGCCGAACATAAACACGATGAGGAATGATTAGCCAATATATTATCATTAAGACTAGAACCAGGTCCAAAGGAAAAATAGGAAGGTCCATGACAATACTCAGGAACTTCAAGATCATAAGGTTTATGGAAAAGGTCAGGAACTTTAGGATCATAAGGGATATGTGTAGTTTAGGCCTACAAGAAGTAGAGAGGATCTAACCTGCAACAAAAAACAATGAACTTTAATAACACCAACCTAAACAAGCTTAGGATGACAATATACATTTCACAATCAATCGATTTTTATAGATAGTTTCGAGTTAGTCAAACTCAAACGAACTTTGTTTAGCGATTATATTTTTTATACACACAATCCAACATTGCAGAAACAATTAATTCAAGAAAAGACCATCCAAATTAAAATTACATAAATTCACAATTAAAACACTCCTATATCTGCAAATCTTATATTAGGGGACATAGGTTTGTATCGAGTTTACTAATGTCGAGGTTGGAGTGAATTTCAAAAAACTTGAGAGAATGAAGTCTTTGTTTAAAGAGGTATATACAACAAGTGTTAAATATTATGAATATTACAAACTTGTCATTTCAGGAATTGTGCAGGGTGTTATGTGGAAAATGTCTAGATTATTCTGATATGTATTTGTGACTTTTGGGTTGATTGTGTAAATTGGTTGAAGCTGTGGACTAAAGTGCATATTGGTGTTGATCAGACGGGTTAACATGCAAGTTGTAAGATCCGTTTACCCGGAGTATATATGTTTGTTAGGCGTGTCAAACCCAACAAATAATAGGGGTACAACAGACTCCAAATACACTACTTTAATGCACTAAAAAGTAGTACAAGGCAAGCAGGGTCGAACCACAGAGACACGGGATAAAAGTCTATACCTCTTTGCGCAAGGTACTTTGGTCACAAAGGGGGATTTGTTTGCAAAAGTCAAATAATGAAAATAACAATCAACTTTGAAACATGCAGAAAACGAAATAGATTTGTAAACAAGTTGTAAAAGTGCTTCCAGTTCTAGTTCTCAATGTTGTCATTTAACCTGATTATGACTTGATGTAATTGGTGATTGCTATTCTAAGTTGATACTGAAAGATATTAACACGCTCTAATACCTCTCGCTTGCCAAATTATCTAAACCAAAACACGCTCTTTGACTAGACCTAGCTTTACTAATTCAACCTAAACACGCTCTTAGATTGTATTGAAAATCTGCATTAAGTTTTGTACAAGCTTCCCAACAATGTTCATTTCTTCTCATACGCTCGGAAATGTGAAAACATGTATAAATGTTCTACAAAAAGAAAACCTATTTTTTGTTACCAATCATGAACTTTGTAGAACAATTAGGTGCCCTAAAAGTAAATTAACTACATAAAAATTCAATTCATGAAAGTGGCCAATCAAACACAAATCAAATTTAAGGATTCTAGTTTAAACAAGAACATAATCACTAAAATAGAATCACAAATCAAACGTCAAATCACATGCTTCAAGTCAAGCAATCAACATGTTTTGAACAAGAACTAGAAACTAGGGTTTCTTAGCCACACATGGCTAAGAACAAATCAAACAAGAATAAAGATGGAATTGGAATGTTTAATGCTTACAAAAAATGAAATCAAAAGTTTTTGCAATGATTAGGTCTTCTCAAAAGCTCCAAGAATTCTCCCAAAATCGCCCCAAGTTGCTCCAGAAACCGTCCGTTCCCAAAAAAATGACGTCTTCTCCAGTTTTAATTAATGTTCACGTGCATGCCATAAGGCCATGCGTTTTTGGCATGGCCATGCCTTTTGCACATGTGTTTTTGGCATGGCCATTTGTCTCGACCATGTGTTTTTGGCATGGCCCATGCTTTTTGCTAAAAATCAAATAAGTCTTCAGTGTTGGCTCCATCTTCAGTCTAGCTTCACCACGAGTCATGTTGCTCAAATATGAGATGATAAAGGACAAACATGACCCGTGTCAGTGTGACAAGAACCACATTTCCAACGTAGTCCTTTGCTATGATGACAATGCAACCATGAGTCGGGTTATGTCTTCATGTTTTCTGCCATGGAATGACCAGTTCATATTCTCTTCATGCTCCAAAGCTCCAAGCATCCAAGATCCATGCATCCAAGCTCCGCGCTCCATAATGCCTGCAAAATAAATCAAAAATAGTGAAGTACCAGACATTCTTGATGAAATATGCAATGACCCAAATAATCAACTAAATGCAAGAATTATGAAGTATAATGCTATGAAAGGACGGAAATAAACATGCAAAATAGGTGCATAAAATGCACCTATCAATGTTGACCTGCAGTGTTGATCGATTCATTATCACCAGATATTTTTCTAGATCATTTTCTTATTCTCTCTCTTTGTGAAAAGTGTTTAGGGTTTGTATACTCTTATAAGTTCTTTAGTTGTTCTTAATCATTGTAGATTAGGCTGAGTTTTCATTGAGAGAGTAGATTAGGGTTTATGTAGTGAGGTTTCTCTTGTAAGTATCTGAAAACCATCTGTCTATTTGTCCTTAATTGATATAATAGATGATGATGTTGGGAATATATGTTTCTATGTTTTTTCACATGGTATCAGAGCTTTAGGGCTTCGATTTGTGGCTGATGATCAACTTCGTAAAGGTACTTTCTGTTTTCCTCTATTTTCTTGCATAGATCCTTGTAGATCTTCATAGATGGGTTCGTACTGGATTTTCTGTTGAAATCTCAGCTTATCGTGAACATCTAGGGTTCTTCTATTTGATCTGGATCATCTTCTAGTTATTGTTTTTCTTTTAAGATCCTGGTACTGCGAGTTTTTTGTGATCTTGTAGGTTTGTCTTCAAGAGGAGATCCTTGAGTGACAATCGTTATCGTCAAGTGGAGATCCTTGATTGACGAATCAAATCTTCGCTGTTCTTCGATCGATTAATGCTGTTCTCTGAAATAACTCTTGTTAACGGATTTCATCACCGTTAACTTTTTAAAAGAGAACGGAGTAATAGGACTCGATTCGTTTCAACTGATCAGCTTATAGCTCTGTGAGCGTTTCTTGTTCCCTTCTATTCTAGTTCTAGCTGTAGATGTGGGAGATCCTGGTTGTCTTGAGTACACCAGTTATTGTTTTTTGTTGTTCTATATTCTATGTGATTATTTTGACTCTGTGATTCTTGTCTTGGGCCCCAACATACCGTGGTGACCATCTGGACGCTTAAGGATCATAGTGGTCTGTATTGCTTTCTTGATTTTTGTGTGGTTTATATTTGGTCAATTTTTTGTGAATACTATGATTCTCCTCTTGAGTCTGGTAGTGGTTCTAAGGTTGATCCTGTGAACTACGATGATCCTCTGTATATACATTCATCTGATAATACTGTAACTATAATTGTGAGTTTTAAATTGACTGGGACCGATAATTTTCGTGTATGGCATAGCTCTATGATAAGAAGTCTTAAGGCTAGAAATAA